TGGGGGGGGGGGAGGGACGCTGGTGGTGCACCCAGGAGGTGAAGTGCTTCAATTTTGTGGCATAGCATGCCCTCATAGACTCCCACCTACTGTGTATAAGAATACAGCGCAGGCCTGGCCACCGCTTCCCGCAGCCCCCATTGGCCTGGAGCAGTGAACCAATGGGGAGCTGCAATTGGCCGAACCTGCAGATGCGTCAGGTAAACAAACCACCCGGCCCGCCAGGGGGCTTACCCTGGTGGGTCGCGTGCCAAAAGTTGCCGATCCCTGCATTAGCCCCATCCAAAAATCAGACCGTCAGTTGGAGTGGGCCCAGGTTGGCAAACTCTACTGTGGTCCTGTGAGAGAAGGTCCAGCCTGTTGGGGAGGTTGATCAGTTGAGTAGCTTGGGGAATCAGAACTGTCAAAGCCAGCACAGGGCTATCAGGATGACCCTCGCCTGATCTTGGCAGGTCCTGCGGAGGGACTGGGGGAAGAGAGTACAGAAGGTTGCCATGCCATAGAAGAAGGAGGGCACCGCCCTTGGAGTCTTGACCCCTGTCCCTCACTGGAGAATTAGAGGGGGAATTTGCAAAGAGATCCCTGGGGGTGCCCCAGGCCTGGCAGATGGTGCAGCGCACGGGGTCATGGAGCTCCCACTCGTGGTTGAGGTACCAAGCTCTGCTTAGTGCGTCCACCAGGGAGTTCTGTGTCATCAGGAGGTATGCCACATGGGGCACAATGTTGTGGCAGAGACAACAGTTCCAGAGGTGGATGGCCTCCATGCAAAGTGACCGGAATCTAGTGCCACCCTGTCTGTTTTTGTATGCCATGGTGGTGGTGGTGTCTGAGAAGACCTAAGTGTGTCGGTTGCGGAGAAGAGGCAGGTGGACCGCATGCAGCTCCATGCTTCCCTGGGAGTCCACCTCCCCTGTGCATTGCGGACTTCATGAGGGCCAGGAGGGTGGCAAAGCAGTATGTTGGAAGGCAGTCTAGGCAGGCTCCGAGGAAGTGGATTGTCTGCGTTGGGACGAGCACGAATTACTCCATGTTGACACAGATGCCCAGTGGGGCAAGAAGCAAGCGGAGGGCTGAGACCACTGTCGTCACCTCGGCAAAGGACAGAGACTTCAAAAGCCAGTAACCAGATAGGGGAATCCAAAGTGCCCCCCCCTTGGCAGAGGTGAGCTGCTATGACTGCAAAGACGTTGGTGAAGATCCTGAGGGCTGTGGCGATGCCGAATAGAAAGACGCTGAATTGATAGTGGTTGTCGCCCACACAGAAGCAGAGGAACTTGTGGTGGGCCAACTGGATGTTAATATGGAAATATACGTCTTTCACGTTGAGGACTGTGAACCATGCCCTCTGGGAGAGGGAGGGAATGATGGAAGCGAGCTTCATCATACGGAACTTGCTCTTTACGATGAAAGTATTGAGTAAGCAGAGATCGAGGATAGGGCGAAGGCCCCCATCCTTCTTCGGGATGAGAAAGTATAGGGAGTAGAAGCCCGTGCCAATGAAGGTGATGGGCATAGGTTTGATAGTATCCTTCTTGAGGAGAATGTCCGCCTTGTGTTGAAGGAGCATGTCGTGGACAGAGCTCCCTGGAGAGAGCCCGGGAAAGTGGGGGCCCGGTGAGGTGGGAAGGTAAGAAACTCTATCAAATAGCCATGTTGCATGATCTCCACTACGCATCGATCCATGGTCATCTTGCCCCAGTGGTGGGCAAATATGGCAAGATGGCCTGCAAAGGTGGCCCGGGGGCTGCAGGCAATGAAGTGGGGGGTTCACAGCTCTCGACCATCGCGCCAATATCGGGCCTTTTGCTGGTGGCAAGGCGTGGTTGTGGAGGTGGCCGATGGCAGTGGGTGCTGGGAGCAGGGGCGCTTGCGGGCCAGCTCCTGGTATTTAGTGTAGGTAGGTTGGTATGGAGGGTATGGGCTCTGCTGGAACTCCAGCTTAGATTGTTGGCAGCGGGGGTGTAGATCCCAAGGGATTGAAGGGCCGCTTGAGAATCCTTCAATGAATGCAAGGCCTCGTTAGTCTTTGTGGAGAGCAGCTTGTCCTTGTCAAAAGGGAGATCTGGGATGGTGGACTGGACCAACCTGGGAAAGCTGGAGAACTGGAGACACACTTCACATCGCATCTCTACCCCTGTGGCCAGGGAGTGGGAGGACATGTCCATCGCATCCACCGCGGCCTGGAGGCTGACTTTGGCCATCATGCAGCCCTCATCCACAGGGCTTGGAACCACTGGTGCTTGTCGTGCGGGATGTCCTCCAAGAACTCCATCAGCTCGGTATAATTGTTGAAAGCACACTTCATTAGCAGAGCTTGGTAGTTAGAATGCGGAACTGAAAGGCCGCAGAGGAGTAGAGTTTGCAACCCATGAGGTCCAGGCATTTTGCCACCTTATCCAGGGGGGTGGAAGAGGAGGAGCGCTGGTGTGCCCGTTCCATGGCCATGTGGGGGTGGGAAAACAGAAAGTCAGCCTCCTTAGCTGGCACAAAGTATCTGCCTTCCGACTTGTTGGGTGTGGGGATGCAGGATGCCAGCAAGTGCCACACTGCTCATGCGGGTTGTAGAATGGCATTGTGAATGGGCAGAGCTACAAGCATCAGACCTGCGCCTGGAGAATGTCCATTGGCTAGTCTGGTTGGTCTTGGACCTTTTCAAGGGGCACACGCACTCCAGGGCCACCCTCTGTAGCAGATCCTGGTAATGGTGGTGATCATCAGGAGGGAAGAGGGTCGGTGGGATGAGGGCCTTGTCCAGAGAGGAGGAGGCTGCCATCAGTACTGCTGGTGTTGGATCAAGCGCTGGGTCCTCTTCCTGGTCCAAGACTATGGGAGCTAGCGGAGGGGCTGAGGGCTGGTATTAGGCCACCGATGGTGGGTATGGGCGGCAGTAAGGATCCCACATGGGCCAGTGGTGCCATAAGGCTGGGTCTTGATGGCACTGTGGGCCCCACGGGTACAGGTACCATCCAGGCGGGCCTGGAGCATAGGGGGCCAGAAAGGGTGGGCAAGCCTGGGAGTCCGCACTATGCTGGGAGACCAGGGAGAAGGACAGCTCTTCTGCTGAGAAGCCCTCTGAGTCTGAAGAAGCTTCCGGCAGTTGCAAAGCCACTGGTGCGGGTGGTACCGTGACCGGCAGGGGCAGGTTGCAACTGAGGAGAGGCAGCTCATCCGCCGGTGAAGGGGGCTGGGGAGCCGAAAGAAGCAGTGAGGGCGGGTACAGCAGCTTGAGGTGGGACGTGGGGATCAGCAGATCCATCCAGCCCAGTGTCCTGGGCACATCCCGCTGTCTGCTGCTCTGAGGAGGGGTATGCAGAGCAGAACCCAGAGAGTCCTGCCACGGCTGTGTGGCACACGCTGGCAGGCTGTTGGGATCTTTGGTCCTTGTGGGAACCAGCAATTCCAGCGGCTCTTGCTTCTGCTTTGCCTTGCCCCCTGCCTTAGGGGATGAGCCTGAGGGGTTGTTACATGAAGTCTAACCCAGCCGAACCTGGCTTGGGGAGGAAACATGGTGAGGACAGCGGTCCATGATGCAGACCTGCTGCAGTGTTCACGAGAGCGCTTGGGACTCTCCTTCTTATGTCTTGGTGGTGCCAATGGAATTGGGTGTGAAGCTGAGGGTGGGACGCTCACCGCCAGTGATGGGCGATGCACTGTCGGCATCTCCGGTCAGGGATTGGACTCCACATGAGGTCAGAGCACTTCCACCATGAGGAACTTGCGGAGGTGCTGAAGTTGAGTGTCACAGGTCCTTGACAGGAAGGACTTGCAGATATTAATCCCATTTCACAAATGAGGAAACTGAGGTACAGAGTGGCTTAGTGTCTTGTCCAAAGTCGTACAAAAAACAAACCTGGAAAACCTCTTGTGCTATGTCTTCATTGCAGAGTTAAATCAGGATCTTACTCAGGTGTTGCCCTTGTTCCCTTTCTGTTCACATACAGAACTTTCTATCATTCAAGTTTGGTGGTGCTTCAGCCTGAGCTAACTGGCTTATCTGGGGCTGCAGGCTAAAACTCAAGTGAAGCTTTCACCTGGGCTAGTAACCTGGCCACTTTGCAGTGAGGACAAAGGCTAAATCACTCGAGTGCTAATACTTTTCCAGTGCCCTCCCACAATTCCTTGTGTATCAGCGCAGAGGGACAGAAAAATTCTTCCACAATTCACCAGGAAAGAATCAGAGTGGTTCAGTTAACCGCAGCACAAAGAACTATCAAAGGATATGTCCTGAGAAGTCCTAACACTATATATAGGTGAGTACAGCACCAGGGAGCACACAGTAATTCATCTGGAGATTTGCAGTGTGGCTGCACACATGCAGGCTAGGCTAACCTGGATGGTGATCATGCGAATTAACTCTGCAGCAAAGAGGTACCTTTGATTCTCAGGCTTGCACTTCAGCAACATGACCATCTCCTCTCACATGAGTAATGGTAAAAAGGATCTTTACTTATAGGAAGGAGCAGCAATAATAGTGGTCACCTGGCCAACATTCCCTTGTTTAAAGTCCCTTTCATCAACACATATAACGAAGAAAGGGAAACCAGTTACAACACAGAGGATAACTCCACTGCAAATTTTAGTGTTGACATGTATGCTAAACTGAAAAATACCCTTGATGTTTACCCAGTTACAGAAAGGTTCCATGGTAAAGTTCCCACCTGTACTATACATTGCAACCATGTACTAACTTGGTCTTTTAATTGGCTGAAGTACAAGGAATAGTTAAGGCCAAATCCTCATTCAGAATAATCAGAACAGTTCCATTTACTTAACTGGAGCTACACCACTTTACACAAGCTCAGGAGCTAAACCATAATGACTGCTGTCTGGCTATCCACTCACTACACTATCAATCACACAGGAAATGCTGCGGGAGAACCCATATATGAAAAGTGATAAAACATTTTATTCTGATTTATTATATGCTGTTATTCCTGCTGCAGTCTGTAGCCTGACATCACTATCTGTAAATATAAGAAAGAAAGAAAATGTAGATTTACCTGAGCAAGCCTAAGAGATGGGTTAGCTGGCAGTGGTCGTGCAGGTACAGTTTGAGGACAGGGTAGCTGGTGAAGGGGTGGTAGGACTCGCTGTGGTGTTTTTGACCGCTGTAAATCAGATGTCTTTACAGAGTTACTGATGTCAATAGTCTGATATGGTAGCAATCTTCTCGGACCATCTCTCTATAGAGCCATAAAATAATAAAATTGGTAGTTTTAAAAAATCCCAATGAATATTATGGATACAAACAATATTGTTTGAAACACTGTAATCTTCCTTGTTCTGCACTTGCTTTGCCCTTCTTTCCCTCCCTGCTTTACCGTACCCCTAAACTCCTTTTCTGTAGCCAGAGAACAAGCAATTAACAACTTCCAGAAGCCTATTCAAACACTAATCCTTGGCTGTTCAGAAGGTAGTGCTTCTGTCTGAGATGGCTGGCTGTATCCCAGAGACTAACTGTATTTCCTTTCAACATTGAGTCTCCATCTGTTTGGAACTTGGAAGCCAAAGTGCATTTTGGACCCACTTTTTCTGCTCTTGTTTAACTAGTTCATAGTTTTATATAATTTTAATACTTAATGATAATAAGTGTCATAATTACTTCAAACATACAGGAAATGTATATCAAATTCTAATAATGATACTTTGACTGTTTAAGAACCCACCTGATGTATGTTTAAATTTTGTGGCTTTATGACTAGATTTTTACTGAGAGTTGTGGTATGAACATGATTAGGCTCAAATGAACTGGAAGGCCTTGCTGGACTCACAGACCTGCAATACAAGTATACACTTATTGAATGCAACTTTGTTCTTACAGCTTTACTTTTTTCACAGTATCGTTCTCAGAATAACACTTTGAAAGGGCTTTCTTATTTTTGCTCTCTATGGAAAACAAGGAAATGTAAAAATTATCTAAAAATCTTGCAAGAATAAAAATAAATATTGATTTTTTTGAAGCCACTAGTCTGTTAAATTAGCTCTTGCAATCTGTGGAAATGCAGTTTTATAGCACCCAAGAGACTGTTCTAATGAGTCTAGCATTTAAGTAGTAATGACCTCAAATACGGAAGTTTTAGCTCACTTGACTGAGTTTAGATAAAAGGCCAAGCCAGATAATGAAAATATTTCAAGCAACCCAAAATCAAGGCAAAGTTTCCTTTACTTTTTAATTGCTTATCACAGAAAGCATAATAAAAAGGCATATAGTCAAACCCCATTTTATTTACTGACGTCAATGAAGTTGAAGTGAAGAAAAAACACTTCTGAAAAACTCATCTTAATTAAAGAATGAATCCACTTTTAGTAAATGTCTCATATATGCACCACAAGTACTGAGAAATGTAATGAGTACAGTCAGTTTCTATTGAAGTTTATTAAAATGAGTGGGTAGTTAAGAAAAATTATCATACCTTAGTTTCTCTATTGTTGTCTTTTTATTTGTAAATAGCAGTCTAATCAAAGTCTTCCTTTTGAGATACATGATTAAACCAGCAACAATAAGGCACAGAATGGTTACGAGTATTCCTATGGTTAAACTTCTATTATCTGAAATAAAACACATTTTTTGACTTGTGATGGAGTCAGTTATGATGAAATCTGTCTGATATCAAGAGTAGGATATTGCTGGCTAGGCCTGCTTTCTAGCAACATACAAAATGCAATTAGTAAATAATATATTAGGGAATTAATAAGGTAGTATTTCTGCTATGATTATGCTTGAACTTAATTCTCACATCATTTGTTTCTGTCAACTCCAAAAACAAAATGGTTAAATACAAGCTGATAGACTCATTCCTCAACTGTATAAATATCCAAAGCAGAAAACTGGAAAAAAAATACAGAGGGGTGCACTAAAAGAGGGAAGAGGCAATTAAATATCAACTCTTAGTGATACAAATACTAAAAACTTTGATAGTTTCTTTGTTAGCTTCAATTTGAGATACTACACAAAACTCAACAGCTGATAGCAAAATGGTTGTGTCTCGGTTTACCAAAGTTTTCTCCACTTGAAATGGATATTAGTGAAAGTGTAAAAATCAGTTGTCTTATGGTGGAAAAACATAATGTTTACCATTTAAGGGTCAAATTAAGTAACAAGACCGCTCATGGTTGTATTTATTTAAGACACTACAGAATGGCAATTTCTTTACCAGGTTTCACTGTATTCCAGTGGCCCATTTCGCAGTGTTATTTGGATTGTATTACTCTGGATTTTACAGTCCAAATGTCAGCCTTTTACATTACAGGTTGGTAACTGCTGTGACAATGGTTATGCTCCTTGAGCTCAGTAACAACAGATGGAATGGAATAATGGGTGGCCTTTGCTCTAAATACAGTAATATGCAGTAATGAATAATGCTGGCAGCTTCTGCTCTTCCAAAACCAGAAAATAATCTAATCAAAGATTCCATCCAACCCAATCCAGAGCAAACCCTGCCAGGAGCGCGCGCTCTCTCTCTCTCTTTTATACCAACAGGGAGCTCCAGCTCAAGCTTCTCTGCTAACTGCAGCTGTGGCAGTATGGCAGGGGGAGTGGGAAGGTCTCAAGCCCTTAGGGTTTTATACGTCAAAGCCAACATCTTAATCTCAATTTGGAAATCAAGGAGCAAGCCATGTAAGAATATGGTATCATGTGCTTGTGATGAGACACACCATTTAACGTGCAGGCTGCTGCCTTCTACACTGCCTTAGGTTTCCAGCATGATTTAAAGTGCAGTTTTGTGCAGAGCACATTGCAATAGTCTAATCTAAAGGTAACAAAGACATGAATTAATCATGCCCGCAAGGTTTGCATCTAAACCCCCCCCCCAAAAAACCAGTCACAATCTTGTGGTCAGGAAGAGATGGAAAAAAACTCTGGCAGACAGGTCTGCTATATGATCATCTACCAGCAGCTGGAGATGCAATAATACTCCAGAACTACAAACTCTAACAATATATGGAATTTCTCACCCTCAGTAAAAGGTACAGTTATAATGCTTACAATGGCAACCTATCAGCGTTATCTCAGTCTTATCCTGATTGCATTTCAGCCAGCTAGATCTTCAACATACCCCAACCTCAACTAGACATTGCCCAATGCAATTGACAGCATTGACTGACAGCGACATAGAGCACTTTAGCTCAGAGTAACAGTAATAAATCTCTTTCCAGTACTAAAAGCTAAATAAAATTAGTAAACCGAGTATAGGCAATTACATGTAATTTATCTTTACATAATGATTCTGTTAAATATTTAGTGCTGCTATTTAATAAAGCTATAGTGTGCTGAGTACACGGATTTAGTAAAAGTCAGCTGGGTAAAATCAGTTACTAAAGACAAATCAGGCCATATGTCACATTTAACTAAGGTAAATGACTGTGCGTCTTTTATTGAGCTAATCCTTCTACAGTTTGATTAACAGATGTGCAAACTATTCAGATCATAATCCAAATCTTGTATCAACTGCTCATATTTAAAGCACAAGTGTCAGGGAAGGAAAATTAGCTCCCCTAGCAATTTCTATATTTGTTTATTCCCAATACTACTGAATATAGCATGGTCATTGAAAATAGATGGCAAAAGTATCATGATATATAAAACTGCAGAAAACTATTTTAAAAGTAACATTAAAGGGCTTCCTTCCAAAAAAGAGAACTGAATTATTGAAGACACCCCGTATTTGCCTTCTCCCCAGTTACCGCTATGTAGTGCAGCACATTCTACATGATATGTACAGTCAGATTTTGTAGTTCCCTGCACTACTTAGCCATAGCAAGGTGAGTTAAAGAAGGACTTATGTTAGAGCAAACCTGGAAAAATGAGAATATTTACAGATTAATAACTGTACTTGCTCACTTCTTGAGCTCAGTTTCTTTGCTATTTTGTTGGATGTTTGGTGTTTGAATAAGATCTTTCTCCCTCAGAACCCAGAATCTTCTTTCTGCTATGTCCTGCAGTGAAATCATAATGTCATGTTGTTGCCATGGAAATGATTGTGAGGTCACTAGTTCAGCATTACAATTCACTGCAGGATCCAGTATGTAGAGAATACAATCCAATTTACTTTTGAATAGCATTATTCATATGAAAAGAGCTCAGATTACTTCCCAGGAAATCATAGGCCACATATGCAAATGTGAGTAGACTATGGGCCTAATTCTCCTGTCACTGATATAAATTAGAACTCCATTGAAATCACTAAAGTTATGGTACGCTGAAATATAAATATAGGAGTGCACAGTAGATGGTTACAGTGGTCCTTCTAGCTTTATACTCTGTGAATTATGAGACTGATTTTCAATAATGTATTTGTACTGTTTGTGCATGCAAAGCCACGCCCACAATTGTTTAAGGATTATCAAGGATTATTAACACGTATCGAAAAAATCTGTCTCTGGCTAGAGGAGAAATAGGATGCAATGGCCAGTAGGGAAATTGAAGGCACAGGGTAAAGGAAATATATACATCTTCCATTATCATCAAATTTGAGAAGAACTTTTAAATATATGTGAAAGTTAAAAGCATTTATGTTTAATTGTGACATATTCCGAAGTTTTCCCCACTACAAAAGCCCCTTCTTAAAGTCCCCATATCACAGTTGCTTATTTTTCTGGATTTGTCATATTCTGAGGTTCCTATTTTTAAAAGTGCGTGCATGCATGCAAATCAGTTAATAGTATGCATGAATGTCTGGCCATCTGATTGCACAAATTCCCGATTTGCACTTGTAACGACAGTAATTTCAGGCTTACATTAGGCACACGGTTGTGGGCGTGGCTTTGCATGCACAAACAGTACAAATACACTATTGAAATTCACAGAGTATAAAGCTAGAAGGACCACTGTAACCATTGAGTCTGCCCTCCTATATAACATAGGCCATAGAACTTCCTTGAATTAATTTCTTTTTGAACTAGAGCATATCTTTCAGAAAAACATCCAATCTTGTTTTAAAAAATTGCTAGTGATAGAAAATCCACCATGATCCTTACTAAATTGTTCCAGTGGTTAATTACTCTCACTGTCAAAAATCTGCACTTTATCTGTAGTCTGAATTTGTCTAGTTTAAACCTCCAGCCTTTAGATCTTGTTATATCCTTGGTCTGCTAGATTGAAAAGCACCTTGTCAATTTTTTGTTCCTCACATAGGTACTTACAAACTGTGACCAAGTCATCAGTTAACCTTCTCTTTGTTAAATAGATTGAGCTCCTTGAGTCCATCACTGTAAGACATGTTTTCCAATCCACTAATCATTCTTGTGGATCTGTTCTTAACCCTCTCCAATTTATCATCAACATCCTTCTTGAATTGTAGACCCCAGAACCGGACACAGTATTCCAACAGCGGTTACACCACTGCCATATACTGAGGTAATATCCTTAATACTACTCGAGATTCCTTGTTTATGCATCCAAGGATTACATTAGCCCTTTTGGTCAAAGGGTTGCACTAGCAGCACATGTAGAGCTGATTATCTGCCATGACCTCCAAGTTTATTTCCAGGTCAGAGTCCCCCATTCTGTAAGTATTCTTTGTTTATATTTGACCATATTAAAATACACATGGTTTGGAAGTGATCCAGTTTGTTCTGTATCAGTGACCTGTCACCTTCATTACTTACCACTCCCACAGTCTTTGTGTCATAAGTGAATATTAAGTTTTCTTTCAGGTCATTGATAAAAATGTTAAATAGCGTCACACCGAGAAACAATCCCTGAAACCCACTAGAAACACATCTGGTCAATGATGATTCCCTGTTTGCAATTACATTTTCAGACCTCTCTGTTAGCCAATTTTTAATCCATTTATTGTTTGTGATGATAATTCTGTATTCTAGTTTTTTAATCAAAATGTTGTGTGGTATCAAGTCAAATGCCTTACAGATGTCTAAGTAAATTACATCAACACTGTTACCTTTATCATCCAAACTTGTAATCTCACATGGAAAAGATATCAAGTTAGTCTGAGAAGATTTATTTTCCATAAACCCATGCTGATGCTGATACAGTGATGCTGTAGTCAATGGAGGATGCTTTGGAGTTTGATGTATCTCAAGGTAGATCAGAAACACTGTGTCTATCTCTTATATGATAATATGATATAGAGACTCAATAAATACGTGGGAACTGTTACAGGGTACCCTGCAAGCCCTTACAGCAGTTGAAAAGTTAAGTTACTGTACTTGCTCATGTCCACACACTGAGTTAGGGTTAAAACCTGAGTTCCTGGTTCATAATCTTGTGCTCACACCAATATACCATTGCCCCACATCCCAGAACTACCTAACTGGATAGTGTACTTTTAAAAACAAACAAAATCTCTGGGTTGTTGTGTTCTTAATTATGCAACTACATTGCTACAATCAACTGGCAGTGTTTTTGGCTTCATTAAATTTTAATTAGTGCCAATTCATTTGGACTAGCTTGCCCAATTTATTGACAGTTTTGCAGTCTCAGTACATATTTTCAATAAAACCCATTTGGATTTTCACTTTCTACCACGGAATGGCAGGAAAGCACCAGCTATTACTAACCTGCTTGTCTGGTTGGTCCACTGTCCATGCTGCCGCCAAACCCTGGCTTGTCACAATGGGGAGGGGCCCAGTCAGCTTCGCAGTGACAATTTTTTTTATTGTTACAGACCTTCAAAATAAAATGACGACAAATGAAGTAATATGAAAAGTTATTCCAGACAGCTTAGATTGAATTTTATCAGATTATAGGAGCTTTCACTCAGGCAGTGGTAGATGCATGGGGATTAAAGCTCATGTCACAACAGGGACACATCCAAATCAGCCTGCTGCCACAACCTCGATTAAATACAATTACTTATACATTTTTCAAAATGTGTATATCCTAATAGCAACGTGGAACCTCAATCAGTATTCACGTATTGCAGGTGATAACTTGAACTGTAAGTGTCATCTAGTACCTCTATTGGAACTATAAACCTTTATCACAACTCCTGTTCCTTCTCCCTTGAAAGGAACAAGATTCCTCTCACCTTCCTAATGCCCCAACAATGCCTGAGCAGCTTGCTTCTCTGTCCAATCCTAACCTACCTGTGCTGGACTGCCTACTGATTCTGCCACTTCTCAGGCCTCAGCAATAAGGGTGACCAACATTCCTAGCCAAAGGGAGGAGACAGGGAACTGGAAGCAGGACAGAGTTTGATCACACTGGATATGCAGGTTGAAAGAAGAGGGATCTTGACAGATGAGAAGGCTGGTGCAAGGTGGACACCTCTGAAGAGACCTGACCTGACCCAGGTTCCTGTGACTAAAACTTTTCTCCTTGACACTAGATTTGCATGACCTGAAAATATATATACACCTCTACCCCAATATAACACTGTCCTCGGGAGCCAAAAAATCTTACTGCATTATAGGCGAAACCGCGTTATATCGAACTTGCTTTGATCCACCGGAGTGCGCAGCCCCGCCTCCCCGGAGCACTGCTTTACTGTGTTATATCCGAATTCGTCTTATATCGGGTCGCGTTATATCGGGGTAGAGGTATATATATATATATATATACTAGTGTCCCACAGTGGTGCTCTATTTGCTTAGCCTATAGTTAGGCAGAGATAGAAGCACATGGCTCACTCAGGGAGTGCTCCCTGCAGCATGAGGGAGCACCAAGGAACAGACCCAATAGGGTAATAACAACCCATTTCCATTGCACAAGGGAGAATGAGCTAACGGGATCCCTGTGCTTTATTCTTGGGAGAGATACTAAAAAGATAAAAAAAGAAACCTTCAGCTCTCCAATGAAGGGCTAGCCCTTCAGTTCTCGCCCAGGGGAAGACCTTCTCCTCCCATCCAAATGAGGTGCTGCCAGGATTTTAAGCAGCGGCTAATGATGCACCTTTTGCCATTATGGTATGATTGAATGAGATAAACATTGTGCTGCATAGGGCTAAGCAAGGCAGAGTTACACTTTATCACTCTCACACTCGCATTTATGGCAAGGTGCTACTATCATTGATCATCACTGCTCTGCAGAACCTTTGCCATGGGAAAACTTGACAACAGATTGATCAGTAGAATCCTGTTTAAGACAATCTAGTTAGGTTAAATAATCTCTCAAGATGCTTTTTCTGAGGAAGCCGATTTGCATGTTTTCAGTAAGGCCGTATTTTGGGGAGTCTGCATAGTTCAATAAAAATAATCATTTACTCAGCCTTCGCTTCCTCTCACAGTACTTTCAAAGGAAATATTCCAGAATCATATAAAACATTACAACTGATTTGTTTTCCACATACAGAAGGACAGTTACAAATATCATTATGCTACACTTATTTATAAATTAAAGCTCTACAAGGATTACCATCTACAACTCTGCAAGTTCTTGTTTTGCTTCTTAGAAGTCACCATAACTCTGACGTACAAATGCCAATCTGTAAGTCGATGTTTATTTCCGCACACTGACAAAACCCAGTTACTTACCTTTTGTAACTTGTTCTTTGAGATGTGTTGCTCATGTCCATTAGATTCTAGGTGTGTGCATGCCCACGTGCATAGTCGTCAGAGATTTTTGCCTTAGCGGTATCCATACAGTCGGCAGTGGTGCCCTCTGGAATGTCGCGCTCATGTGTCGGTATATTAGGTGCCACAGGCCCTACGCCACCTCAGTTCCTTCTTGTCTGCAACTCCGACTCAGGGGTAGGAGGGCGAGTAATGGAACGGACATGAGCAACACATCTTGAAGAATAACAGTTACGAAAGCTAAATAACCATTTTTTCTTCTTCGAGTGTTTGCCCATGTAGATTCCATTCTAGGTGACTCACAAGCAGTATCCATGGAGGCGGGCATGGAGTTCACAGTTGTACGGCTTGCAACACTGCTCTACCGTAGACAGCATCATCTCAGATCTGCTGGGTAAGTGCATAAGGAGACATGAAAGTGTGAATGGATGACCAGGTAGCGGTCCTGCAGATATCTTGAATCGGCACTTGGGCCAGGAAGGCCACCAATGAGACTTGCACCCTTGTTGTCTGGGCGGTTACAATCGCTGTGGAGGCACTTTAGCCAGATCATAGCAAAAACAGATGCAGGAGGTGATCCATGAGGAATTCTTCTAGGCGGACACTGGAAGACCTTTCATCCCGTCCGCCACTGTGACAAACAAGTGCGTTGACTTACGGAACGGCTTGGTCCTGTCGATGTAAAAGGCTATGCTCTCCTGATGTCCAGAGAGTGTAATTTACGCGCCTCATCTGACTTATGAGGCTTTAGAAAGAAGACAGGTAAGTATATGTCCTGGGTTGTATGAAACTGTGAAACAACCTTAGGCAGGAAAACTGGGTGTGGTCGCAGCTGCACCGTGTCCTTGTAAAATGGAATTAGACCTTCCAGGAGAGTAAAAGAAGGGAGCAGGAAGCCAAAGGCTCAAAAGGGGGACCCATGAGCCGCATCAACACGAGATTCAGGTCCCAAGGAGGGACAGGGTCATGAATACGTGGATAGAGTTGCTCCAGACCTTTCAAAAACCTGATTGTCATGTTGTTAGCAAAGACCGACCTGCCCTGGAATGGAGGGTGGAAGGCTGAAATAGTGCCAAGTGGACCTTAATTGAGGAAAGAGACAGGCCATGGAGCTTGAGATGCAGAAGGTAGTCCAATATCGACCACAGCAAAGCCTGCTTGGGCCGGATACTCTGGTCAGGGCCAGATTAACTCTCCTACGGGGCCCAGGGCTATTAGATTTTGTGGGGCCCCTGTATACAAGTCTTTTTCCTAATTTAAAACAAAATGATCACAATTATGGCATTAACTCTATACTAATCTTGCCTTTTAATTAACATAAAGCCGTTCTGTGGTTCCATTTCAGTCTGAAAACATGTAAAATATAGTTAAATTAATTCAAAATGGCCTACTTCTTACCTTAGAACAGATGTTATATTAGTTTCTTTCTGGGAGGGAGTTTGGGTGCAGGAAGGGGCTCCAGGCTGGGGCAGAATGTTGGGGTGCAGGAGAGGGTGAGGGGTGCGGGATCTGGGAGGGAGTTTGGTGCAGGAGGGGATCTGGCTCGAGTGTCCTTAAGTCCATGCAGCCTCGCATCTGTCTGCTCGGAGAAGAGACCGCTCCCATCGAACGGGAGGTCCTGGATGGAGGACTGCATCTCCTGGGACAGACCTGCGGATTGAAGCCAGGAACTGCACCTCATTACCATGGCGGAGGCGCCGACCCTGGCTGCCGAATCGGCCGCGTCCCAGGCCATCTGGAGGGAGGCCCTTACCACTGTGGTACCCTCCTCCAAGATGGCGGTGAACTCTTGGGCCAAGTCCTGGGGTAGCGAGTCTTTAAACTTTTTGAGGGAGTCCCACAGATTAAAATTTTGTATCTCCCCAATAAAGCTTGGTGGTTTGACACCCTAAACTGAAGGCTGGACATCAAATAAACTTTGAAAAGCACGTTGAATAAAGTGTCAGGCTGCTCTGCCATTTCTTCTACCTCCAGGCATAAGTTCGAAGCCACCCTTCTGAGCAAGGCTTGGTGCTCCTTAAAGTCATCAGGAAGTCTGGCGCTTGAGGGCCCTGCTACTGCCTTGTCTGGTGACAAGGATGAGGATTAGACCACCTGGGGAGGGCCTGGGACATTGTCCCCTGTGGGGGAAGGTTCTTTTGGAGTGGGCACCCACTCCTCTACTGCAGTATCAGATTCCGCTCTGCGCACTGAGCCCGGTGCCATCGGTGCTGTGGGTTGCTTCTCCGAGGCAGCAAGGGAGGAGTGATGCGAGAAGGGCATTGGCATAACTGGCATGCCCCCCGCGTTCCAATATGGCCACTGTGCCTGCCACCGGCCCTGCTGCCAGGTCGGCACCGTGAAAGCCGAGATGGTCTCGGGCGCCTACAAGGGCTGCTGCTGTCATGGCGAGGGGCTGAAGTCCTGTTCTGATCTGGATGAGTCCCCTTCCGATGACCAGCGTGGGGTCATAGAAGCATGCGTCTGGCAGCTGACCGTAGCCGTGGAAGTGTGATGCCTCGAATTGAGGGACTGGTGCCTCTCCAAAGACCAGTACGAGAGGCAGGGAAATCAGTGCCATGCCAATGACTGGTCCCATATCTGAGGGGAACGATGCACCGATGGAGATCTATGCCGAGGGGTAGGCTGGCAGGAGGATGATCTGTGTTGGATGTACGGAGACCACATCTCACCATAGGCATGTCAATGGTGACCGCAAGCACAGTGCTGGCGACCTAGGCTGTCTGACAGGAGACCTAGGTTGTAGAGTCAGGGATCCCAGTCACGGAGATGGGGAACGCTGCATCTGCTCTGGGGACCAACAGCGTTCAGCTGCCCCCTGAGGAGGTCTCATGGCTGACTTACCTCTTTGGGAAACCTTAGCTGGATCCAACACCATGCGCTGCATTGGCAGCGCTGGGAGAGCTCTCTGATCCCTGGCCATCGGGAGGGCCTCAGACATCGATGGCCCTACCAAGTGCCTGGGTGCCCTACTGCTCCTGGGAGTCGGTGGTGGATCCCTAGGGGGGACTGGGGCATCCAGCCAGAGAGGTACCCCCTTGTGGCTCTGGAGTGGGCGGGAGGCCTGAACTGGGTCCTTTGCCCAACATCCCTTGACCCTTCTTGCTCGGTGCCGGGGAGTCTCATTTCTTCAGACGCTTCTTGGCCACCGGCGAAAGGGAGCAGGGCCGGGCGGACCTCAGTGTTGGCGGTGCACCAAGGCCGAGGTGCTGGGCGTATAGTCAGAGCGGGAAGGCGCTGATGCTGGGCGAAGAGCAGCCTCCACGAGGAAGGCCCTTAGACGAATGTTGCGCTGCTTTTGAGTTCGAGGATGAAAGTTCTTGCAAATGCGACATTTGTCCTTCACGTGTGACAGCTAACTAACAGGAATAGGCCTATTGCAGGCAGAACAAGGCTTAAAACCCAGGGACCGGGGCATACCCCACCCTGGGGCTAAATCCCCGCTGGGACTCTAACTTACTAAGTAACATTACTTAACACTTACCTACTGTAAGCAAACAATATACAAACTTAACAACAATGAGAGTTAGAGAGAACCGCTATCCACTTGCAAGGCAAGGGGAAGGTGCTCCGACCAACCATCATGGGCGGTAAGAAGGAACTGAAAGGGCATAGGGCCGGCAGTGCCTAATATACTGACGCATGAGCACAGCACTCCAGAGGGCGCCACTGCCGACCCTACAGATACCGCTAAGGCAAAAATCTCTGACAACTGTGCACGTGGGTGCGCACTCACCTAGAATGGAATCGACACGAGCAAGCACTTGAAGTTATGTTATCATTGATTCTGCAAATCTTTTCAAAACAAAAGCTATAATATTATCTATTAATTATAAAAAGGGATTTTTAGTTCCTATAGTTCTTGAAGCATGATTTCTGTTGGCACAGGCTTTCACGGAAACAAATGAACCAATCGTGCATCACATCAAGATTAAAATGATGTAGTTTGAAATAATTAACACCTTTATGAAAAATAAATTGTGTTTAAAAACATTTAGGTGCTCTTAATTGCTAAAAAGTTTTGTGAATTGAAATAGATTATCATAACTGGTTTAAATCTAAATCTATCTCATGTAACTTTCATAGAATCATAGGACTGGAAGGGACCTCAGAAGGTCATCTAGTCCAGTCCCCTGCACTCACGGCAGGACTAAGCATTATCTAGACCATCCCTGACAGGTGTTTGTGTAATCTGCTCTTAAAAATCTCCAGTGATGGAGATTCCACAACTTCCCTAGGCAATTTATTCCAGTACTTAATCACCCTGACAGGAAATTTTTCCTAATGCCCAACCTAAACCTTTGCTGCAATTTAAGCCCATTTCTTCTTGTGCTATCCTCAGAGTTTAAGGAGAACAATTTTTCCTCCTTCCTCCTTGTAACAACCTTTTATGTACTTGAAAACTGTTATAATGTCCCATCTCAGTTTTTTCAGTCTTCCCTCACAGGTCATGTTTTCTAGACCATAGTTGCTCTTCTCTGGACTTTCTCCAATTAGTCCACATCTTTCCTGAAATGTGGCACCCAGAACTGGATACAATACTCCGGTTGAGGCCTAATCAGCATGGAGTAGGGCAGAAAAATTACTTCCTGTGTCTTGCTTAATATCACTCCTGTAATTACATTCCAGAAGCATGTTTGTTGTTTTTGCAACAGTGTTACACTGTTGTCTCATATTTAGCTTGTCATCCTCTAATGACCCCCAGATCCCTTTCTGGAGTTCTCCTTCCTAAGCAGTCATTTCCCATTTTGTATGTGCGCAGCTGATTGTTCCTTCCTAAGTGGAGTACTTTGCATTTGTTCATAATGAATTTTCATCCTATTTTCTTCAGGCCATTTCTCCAATTTGTCCAGATCATTTTGAATTTTAATTATATCCTCCAAAGCATTTGCAACCCCTCCCAGCTTGGTATCGTCTGCAAACTTTATTAGTGTACTCTCTATGCCATTATCTAAATCATTGATGAAAATATAGAACAGAACCAGACCCAGAACTGATCCCTGTGGGACCCCACTTGATTTGCCCTTCCAGCTTGCCTATGAACCACTGATAACTACTCTGTGGGAATGGTTTTCCAACCAGTTATGCACCCACCTTATAGTAGCTCCATCTAGGTTTTATTTCCCTAGTTGTTTATGAGAAGGTCATGCGAGACAGTATCAAAAACCTTACCGAAGTCAAGATATACCACATCTACTGCTTCTCCCCTATCCACAAGGCTTGTTACTCTGTCAAAAAAAGCTATTAGGTTGGTTTGACAGGATTTGTTCTTGAAAAATCCATGCTATTACTTATAGCCTTATTATCTTCTAGATTGTTCACAAATTGATTTGCTTAATTATCTGCTTCATTATCTTTCTGGGTACTGAAGTTAAGGTGACTTGTCTGTAATTCCCACACTGCAGTCACCATGGTTTTGCTATTTTTTTTATTTTAATCCTTTTTGAAGTGCTTTTTGAAAAATCTCAATTCAGATGCATACTATAACTCACTGCTGGGACCACAGAGAAACAACTTGTTTGAAATGTTAATAGGAAATTCTTCATGAAGGAAGGGTAGGCTTAAAATCACTTTGAAGATGACACAATTCCTTTTAATCACAGAATGTTAATTTAAAAAAAAGATAAATTACTACTTGATCAATTTTTTTTGTTAAATAAAAATCACATTTAATTTCTCGCAGTGTGTAAAGGGCACTGAAAATTAATATCTTTAGAGTGAAATGTTGAAAAGACTTTGACTGATATATTACAAAGAATCATAGATTCCAGAGGTGTTACAAATGAATGATTTATTGCTCAACTGGGTATTGACTGACTGCAAAAAATTGTTTCTGTAATACTTACTCCACGTCCATGGCATTTTGTTGCACATTCATGAACACCAAATATACTAGTATTTTGGCACCGGCGGTTAAGACAGATCTGCAAAATGAGAAAGAACAGCTTTAATGTTGCTGAAAAAAACATACCTAGGGTGCACACAGCAAACTGTTACATCCTTACAGCTACATTTGTTCATCTATCACCTTTCCAGTAGCAACTGTACTGATTTGCCTATGCAGCAACTGATTTCACACCAGTGGAGTTATCCCTGATTTACAGCAATGTAAGGGAGATCAGAATCAGAACCTATGGCCCAGATTTTTAAAGATATTTAGATGTTGTTGCACTCAGTGTTGCAATGTGTAACTGATTCAGGAGCCTAAGTTTCATTTTCAAAAGGAATTTAGGCACTTATGCTCCAAGCATGGCGGTCAATGGCATTTGGGCTTCTACATGCCTCAATCACTTTTGAAAACAAGACTTAGGTTCCTAAATCAGTTAGGCATTGCGACACTGAGCTCAGCAATGCCTAAATACTTTTAAAAAGTATGTCCTTTAAATTATTATCCTTGTAAATCCTTTGGGTTCAAATCCACTTCAATCCCAGGTCAGGGTAAAGGTTGGTATCACTCTTGACTAGCATGCAGGGTAGTGCAAGATTGAATTTTAGATCTATCTGATATCGAAGGCTATATCCTGACTTCAATGGAGCTACACCAGTTTACACTAGGTGAGGATTTGTCTCTTAGTTTTTGAAAATTAACAACTACTAAAACACTTTATTATTTAAATAATTGTGTTCTTATTTTTTCCAGAACTATGAACATGCCAAACTGGATTCTTTCATGTACTTGAACTGGCTGTATTAGAATTCTCACAAGCCAACAGACCACTTCCTGAATTAAAAGATTGGATCCTCTGCTGGTATAAACTGACATAGCTCAATTTACACCATTACGTGGAGCTATGTTGATTTACACCAGTGGAGGAGCTGGCCCAGGATGTCTGGAAATTTCTGAATAGTTTCAAAAGAACACTGATCAACGCTGGGAGGAGGGGCTAATTTCATCTCATCTGATAAATCTAAATGATTCTAACTGAATTTTTTCAAGCTAAATTATTTTTTAAATCAACTATAAATAGACTTGCAGATTAGGTAAAATAATCATCTCACAGGAAATTACAAATTAGCATTAGCCTAGGGGAAGAGCTTTTACCCTTTTGTTAAGTGGAAATTAACAAATATAGAGTGTCATATAATCACATGCAAAATTCTTTGTTTTGCAATCATTACAGAGAGTTAACTTCACTCTTCCCACACAGCTGAAAGTTGGGATAAAGCAAGATTAGCACCATCTAATAAAAGGACCAACCAATACAAACTGAAATGACTGATGTAACTGATGGTAATGAAAAGTTATCCAATTCAAGCTGAAGAAAATATTACGATTGGAATGACTGTTACTATACTAGCTCAACAATAAAAAACCCAGTGTATAAATTCTGCTCTCCTTTAACTCTGTAGTCCAGTTTAGTAGGATTACAAGGCAGTCACAGTAATTAGCAGCAGGCTGGGTAAAAGTGATGGCAGTAGACAAAAAGGATGTCTAATCAGGGCAGTTATCCCCTGGGGGAAAGAAAAACGGGAAACAAATTAGAGTGAATTGGCATCCACGTGCATGCATGCAGTGAATATGCTCTGATTACAGCAGTATTCACAATTCAGATATTCAGAGTGCACTAGCACAGAGAATTCTGAGCACATTAAAATGGCTGCATTTCAAACTGTATATCTTCAGCATAAAAAAAAATCAAGAATATTTAAATTCATATTCCGAATCCATAATACAAATGTGGTAATGCCTTGAAAGTAAAACATACAATTTCATAAGTATTAGGCTGTATATTCAATAGTGTGTGTATATGTATATGATTAGACAGATTAGAAAGATTAGATATTCCCTACTGAACTGGAATGGGGGGATTTTATACCACTGGATTCCTCACTAGTTTTCTCTTTGAAAAGCCATTTTATAGACCATTTTAACTTACCTAAACTTTTCTAGGCTCTTCCCCTTTTTCCTTTCTGCCCACAATCCTCCAATAGCATGCCTTCCCCCTCCTCCTCAGTAGTTCCGGGACACCATTCTTCCCTCCCCCAATAAATTCACAGCATTCTAATGTCCCCAGGGCTCTTCTGTCTCCCATTACCCCAGCTGCTCTTTTCCTCTCCACCCAAAACTATGGATGTGGTGCCAAGATGGAAACTGTACTACAAATGTGCAAGACAATTAGCAATGCTTGTGAAATATGTGTGCGTGTGTGCGCGTGCAAGCATGTGTGTGCAAAAATCTGCTTTGGTGGCTGCACAACAATTGGTTTATGTTTCCCTTTAAAGTGAAAGGCCATTCTTTGCAGGCAGAAGCCGCCTTTCTTCTTAGCAATTGCCTCAATTTCAATAAACAGTTTTTTCTGAAGTGAAAAATGGAAGTGTGAGCAATGATTAGCAAAATCTTATGAACACATTACAAAGCTGGTGTGAGGCTAATTAGAATTTTGCAAAAATACCAAGAAACTCCCCGGACTCTGAAAGTTTTGGATATTGGTATGAAAATTCATGGACACTTATATTTTGAATCTTATGTTTCATTAAACACAAACTGGTTGCTCTGAATGGGTCTAAAGAACATTCAAGAAGTCCTGGGTACCCTGTGTATGGAAATCTTTTGACCTAACAAATGAATTCTGTAAAATAGCGTAAACAACAAATCTTGAATCAAGACAACATGCAGACCTGATTAATTACAATCCTAATGTCCAGATATAGCTCCCAGCAATAAATATACTTAGCCAGATTTTCAATACTTGGCCTTTATTTTGGCTTCTGGAATTATTTTGCAGGAGGTAAAATCTCTGCTATTTGTACAAAAAGTACTTGACTGTGCTCATAAATCATATGTCTAAGTGATTTACATTCTACATGCAAAACTGTGGGTTCAAAAACAGAAGCAAAGTGAAGGAGTAGGTAAAAATCTGGCTCATTATGAGGGTGCAGAAGACAATGAGATATAATATAATAAAATAAAAAAGTGACACTCGTCATAGTACACAGAGATTTGAAACACAAGGATGGTAAAGTTCCACTTTTATACATTGAGAATTGGCTGCTTGGAGAGTATTTTTTAAATCTTACTTTTTCATCTTCACATTTTGTGCCTGCCAAAACGAGACCAGGATCAGGCATATCATCTCCCAAGTACACATGGGTACCACGACACAGAATCTTGCCTCCTTCCTGCAGCGGGATATTTGTTTCTATGGAAACAGCATTGGTACCAATTACAGGTCGATTTGCTCCCCCTTGACACTGAATTTTTCCACATTTAGCATCTCTGAAGGGAAAAATGATTTCAATAATTTTAAAGATATCCAAAAACTGTGGCTTGTGTTGCAATGTCAGTTGTTCTGGGTACAAAGAGAGACCCTACCTGGGTTCACATTTAGCAAAGGAACTTTTGGCGTCTTTGCCACAGTTGCCATAAGGATCACCTGCAGAATTAACTCTCTCAAAGCAGATCCCAGGGGCGGGTTTAGCACCTGAAACAAAAACAAATCAAGACTTTCATCTGATGCAGTGTTTTTAATCATTTTCTTTGAGCTCCACTGGTGTTGTAGTTGAAGGTAAGATGTAGCCTGCATACAGACAAAGCACAGCAAAACACTTGTGCTTGCTCAGCCTGCTAACGGAGCAACCTGAATGTATGTGTTGTCCACAGCTGGTGGTCTCTCTTGGCTAGGCTAATTGATAAACATGGCAGGCTTAATTCGCCTTTAAGATTTCTAGATGGTGTCCCTCATATATCCTCCTAGGACATAACAATTGTAACTAGTTTGGCTAAGACAGATATTGAATAGTTTGCCAGTTGGCTCTCTTCCCTTCAGAGTAGCTAAGTGAGAACTTAAGAGCTAAAGAATAGCCCAAGAGAAGTGCTAGGTCACTGAGTGAAATGGGGAGAAAGGGATATGTAAAGAGCTCATAAAACACATGCAGTTCTTCAAAAATTCCAACCAAGAGGAAGGACTGGTTTGAGGGAAGGGTAATACTCTAATGAAGGGGCAGAGTTAGGAGACTATGAAGCTACATGACACCTGCACCTTATTTAAACTAGCCTTTTTAATGTAAAAATTTCCCAACACCAGTGCAGGTTCTTTGGTGATAGCAAAGGTGGGTATGCTTGTATAGACAGGTCACAGATTCATAGATTTTAAAGCCAGATTGGAGCTTTAGATCACCTAGTCTGACCTCCTGTATAACACAGACCATAGAATTTAATCTAGTTGCTTCTGTACTCAGCCCAATAACTTGTATTTGACTAAAGCATTATCTTTGAGAAAAGCACCCAAGTTTTGATGTGAAGACTTCAAGAGATGGAGAATCCACCACTGCCCTTGGTAGGTTGTTGCAATGGTGATTGCGCTCACTGTTAGACATTCATGCTTTATACTTAATTTGAATGCATGGCTTTAACTTCCAGCCATTTGGTTCTTGTTACACCTTTATCTGCTAGGTTAAACAGGTTTAGCCCCATGGAGAAGTCATTATTGGCATACACCATATGCAAGTCATTACTGGCATTCCAAGCACCACGACTTGCTCTGAGAAGAGTTAGATGATACAGTGGTTAAAGTTCAAGCAGATGCTTGGACCTCTGCTTGCACCAGCACTCACACCATTGATAGCATTGATGTAGCTATGCCAGTGGCCCTTAACAAAAAAGGCCCTCGTGTAGAATACATCCAACAAGCATTGGACTTGTGTCCAGATCAGGAAAATGAAAGAACAAAACAAAATGCTTTGAAAACCTGCAGGCTGAGAATATTACAATTTTAGCACATTATGTCCCTAATCCTTAACAACAGAAACAGAATATCCTAGTGAGCATTACAATTGCCAAATGTTTTGAGCTGTTTCCAAGCATGTGTATATAGTAAAAATCCTGCACTTTTTGGGAAAAATTTTTAAAAGAGGGAGGTTAAAAAAGAGTTTCATACTCTTGGAGAATAAAATTAAACATGATAAAAAGAGTTACAGTTAGTGTGAATCTTTTCACTAATAATGCAAAGATTAAAGCCTCAATTAATTATCTACATTTCACAGTCAGAAGCTTGACTAATAGAATATCCTTAACTGAACAGCAAGGTAATGCTACAATGAACAAAATGTGCAATCTTAAAGAGAGGTTTTAGATGGCTTCCCCACCTTCCTCTAACTTTTTACATATTGAAACTGGAAAACCCAGAAAATAGGGCATAAAGGGAACAAAATATGAGCTGCTGCTCTCCTGGAGAGAAAGACAAGCACCTGAAATTCTTTGAATGATTACTATCAAGCTTGCTGAGTTCAGGATACTTCTCTAATCTGAGACTATTAAAAAGGACTCACACGAGATCCTTGCACTTTTTTCAGAAAACCACGGGAAATAATTGTAAATTGATTGAAGCATCTAGAAAAAGAAACTACCCAGATGAAAGCCAAAATGCAAATTTCACTTTCTATGTGGTTTCCTTCTTGACTTTTCAGTTCAGGGCCAATGGCTATTCAGCATCAAACATTAAAACGTGCACAGGCTATGACTGGTTTTTGAGAGGGAAAGTGGGATGGGGAAGAAGAGGAGATAAGCTAAAAAATCAAGTACACCTCTACCCCGATATAAAGCGACCCGATATAACACGAATTCGGATATAACGTGGTAAAGCAGTGCTCCGGGGGGGGAGGCGGGGCTGCGCACTCCGGTGGATCAAAGCAAGTTTGATATAATGCGGTTTCACCTATAACGCAGTAAGATTTTTTGGCTCCCAAGGACAGCGTTATATCGAGGTACAGGTGTATACCTAATTCTGTTTCCTCTTACCTCTGCACAGACTTAATTATTTAGCCCCAGCTTTCATAACTGACTTAAGGAATACAGCACTGAATAGATCTTGTGCACCTGCTTCTGGTCTCTTCTTCTCAGCTGGGAAACCTCTTACATAGTATGTTATATTACTACAGTAATGAACACTTCCCCTGAGCGTGTATCAAGAGAATGCTTCACTCTGGCAGTCCAAAGCACAGATATGTTTGCACCAGAATGGTATGTGGGTCCTGAAGAGCAAAAGCATTGCTTGCATACATGCACCTGCATTGCCTCAAGACCAGCAATCAGGGTTCATTGAGGCAATGGCCATTACTTGGATAAGAATCTGGATGAAGGAGAGCAGATTGGGGTATATTTTTATTTTCTGATTGAACCTTTAGAGTGGGACACCCACCTATATTTTTAAATATGTAAGCAGCCAGCACATTAAAGATGACAAAAGAGGCCTTGCTGGATAGGGAACACATCTGTCTCTTCTAGCACATCAGGAATGTTCAACTCCAACTGATGTTACTTATTAAGAGAATAGACCTTTTAGAGAACAGAAAGTCCATTCCTACCAGGCTCTGAATACTCTGCGTGTAAAAGCAACTGACTCCCACTGGTCAACTGTAGTCTGGAAACCAAAGCCTAGCGCTACGTTTCTGTCTCCTAATTGAAAGCACAACATTCATTGGCTCGGGATTCAGATGGCTGCAGCCTTCTCCAGATTGGTCTTTTTACCAGCTTTGGATTTTATTATAGCTGCAAACATATAAAGGTATGAGGAAAGTGAACAGATGGAGTTAAAAGAAAGATTTCAAAGGACACTTACGGAAGAAAATCATAATGTTGTGTTTCTTGAAGAAGCCCATTTATCACAATTTCAGCACACAAACTGAAGCAGAAAGTGCTGTCTTTCTCTATTTTGCTACTTCAAGAGGCAGAAACAAAATGGTTTGTGCAAATATTTCCAGTGAATATTAAGCTCCTTGATCTGGATGAGTGGAGTTTATTTCACTTTGCTATTGATAATGATAGCATTGCAACCCTATAATTAAGGTCCTATCAGCCTTTCCTGTACAAATCTTTTTTTCGAAGAATTAAATCAGCCATCTGAAATCACATCACGTTAAAATATGCCATTAAAGTTGTCAGCCTGGATAGATTTGTTTTCAGATGTGCAAACTGATAATTTCATTTCTTTAGTTATAATATAGAAACAGAGAAATGTTGTGTGGTTTCAGATGCTTCTATGACCTGTTTTAATTAAAAAATACCTTAAAATACCATCCAGGAGAAGAAGGAGGGTTAGAATCTGGGAAGGAGAGAGAGTTCTGACAGTAGGGGAGGTTACAAACACAGAAGTACCAGGTGCTGGAATGAAAAGCAGAAAGGAGGGGAAGGATGGTCTTGTTAAGAGACTAGACTGGGACTCAAGAAATGTAGGTTCAATTCCCAATGTGGACACAGACTTCCTGTGGGACCTTGGGCAAGACATTTAATCTCTCTGTGTTTGTTCCTTGTCTCTCAAATGGGGAAAATAACCCCATAGGGTGAGTGGGCGACCTGATGCTCAGACACTACACTAATGAGTATCAATCATATAAGAGTGTATAAATAAATACAAGAAAGACACGCAGGAATCCTAAGTTTTGCAGGCTAAAGTCTTGATTCTCCATCCTGTTAAGTCTGCTTTGTGCTGTTCCAGTGGTGCAAAAGCAGATCTCAACCTGCTTTACCAGGCCAGTGGAGAAGTCTCTTTGTATAGGGGGAATAGTTTGGTGGTGCAGAGCTGATATAGTGCCTGCATCACTGGCCCCTAACCGTCCATCTGGGTGATTCCTAGATGCCTGAGCAGTTCCGGTGGGCTGCTGGCAGTCTGTGTAAGACAGCCCAATTTTTAAGCTGCTATGCTTTGCACTGGGGAACACTCTGGGTCCCAACCAGTCCCAATCTGGCCTTGATACTAACTTTGTAGCTCTAGTTGGACTGGAGGAACTGGCCCTAAATTTGTGATGATCATGTTTTATCATGCTCAAATACTTGTGAATTTGGTTATATAAAGTTCATTTGTATTTACCAGTCATGCAGATAGATATAAATCAATTTAAAGCTTGGTGAGACCTGAGTTCCAGGTAAAACGATTTAACCATAGTTTAAACAGCCAATTTGGATGGGGTCAACCTGTGTTATAATGTCCTAATTTATCTTGATTTACTGCTGTAGATTTTTTCTTTTTTTTTTCTTAAGAGCGCCTGCCTTGACCATAGGTACCCATAGCAAACACACACATACAACCAGAAGAACGCTTCCTAAACAAATGACCACGGCTGTCCAAACTGCCACAGCACAAAGTCAACTGCCCGCTAATTATTAAAAAGCCAGTGCCTGCAATTGGCTCCCCAAAGCCCTCATTTACACCATGCCTGGAAAAGGCCGGGAAGCAGATGAGCACCACAGTATGTCCTGGAGGACACCAGCACCAGGGAGGAAAGCATGTTGTAGAGTCACAGACTCCTCATAGGGAATGAATGGTCATCTAGCAAAGCCCCCCCTCCCCTCCTTCTCTCATACCAACGGGGTACTAGCTCAGATGATACTCCCTGTTACTTGCAATGGCTAGGTATAGCACCAGCAGACAGACTCCATCCAACAAGAAGGCCATGTGTCACTCGGCTGCACAATCTGACACACACA